AGTCCTCTGCGGGCCCTAAACCAGGGGCATTCCAAAGCAGTGAACGCGGTGTTTGTAACGCTCAGAGCATGGGCAGGAAGGTGCTACATCCCTCATGCAAAGGAGGCTTGATCTGAACAAAGTGGGCACTGACTCAGAAGGAGGCTGTGTGTGTGGCCCCAAACCACCCAGAGAAGTGGATCCTGGGCTCCGTACCGTGTAGCATCTGCCATATGGCATCACATGATGATTGTTTTACCAGGCGGGGAGCCGGGTAGAGGGACAGGGATGGGAGAAAGAAAACTCGCGGCCATTCCGGTAACATGTCATGTCCATGGCTGGACATCTCCTGCCAAGTGCTGTGGGATTTTAGCTTTATGTCTCTCCAGGGACAACTGAGGCTTTTTAAGTCTGCTGTGAAAGATCATTTCCTGGCGACCACGGGACTTCTGTGCAGCCACTCAGCAGGGCCTTGAAAACTGTTGAGAACATTGGGGGTTGGGCAGGTGGGTATCGGGGCTGGTGATACCCACTGAGACTAGGGGGAGGGGTAGGACACATGTAGTTATAAGTTATGCCAGATGGCACGCTGAGGAGGGTTGTGGGAGACAAAAGCAAGGACACCGCTTCCTTGAGGGTTTAACCCAAGGAGAAGCTCAAGCCATCACTCATTTCAGCACAAGCACTTAGCAAAGGGGGCTGGCACAGGCGAAGTCAGGCTCAGGGGGCCCTGGAGAAAGAATCAGGTGCGAAGAAGAACTGTAGGTATGTAGTGATAAAACCAAGCTGATTCTTTGAGAGAGGAGTTGCTGCTTCTGATAGTCAGAAGGTGGGGAGAAGAGAGTCAGCTATTGTTGAGCCTCGGAGATAGAAGAGGCTGAGCGGTCCTGCCCAGGGAGAGGCTACTTCCCAGGCGGCACAGTGCTCTAGCTGCCCTTGATGTGAAGCCAAAACCAAAGCTTTCGGGTCTGCAAGAAGCAATGCCAAGGCTGTGGCCAAGAGAGCGTACCCACCACTCCCCTTCTCCCTGCCGTATAAAGTGCCTGGCGATCCTGCCCTCCGGTATTGGGAAAAGCAGGGGGAGATGCAAGGAAGCTCTTAGCTCAGTGGATCAAAGGAAAAGCACAGGGCGTGGGGCTCTGTGGCACGTGAAGTGCCAGCTCCTCTGGTTCCTAGGGCATCCTTCCTCGCTCTGCTGGAGGGAAGCCCAAAGTCTGTCTGACATGGATGAATGTTGAAAGGCAGGAGTACGTGACCAAGTAAAAAAGCAAGAACGGAAGGAGTACAAGGGCAACAAGCTAAGGGGCACGTGCGGTGCTGATCAAAGAGAAATTTAAAGAGCCTAAGGAAGGATAAAGTTATCAGATCTGGGCCCAGATGCTTTAGAAGGGCCAGTTTTAAATGAAAACCAAGGGGCCATATCTCTGTCTAGAACTCAGTGATAATGCTGCAGAAACTTGCATGCCATCCTTGGGGAGAGGGAAGGGAGTTAGGACAAAGGTCAGAATGCCCAGAGCCCTTGGCTTGGGGCACAGTCAGTGACCAAACACCCAGGTCTGTCGCCCTTGCAGGACCCAGGCCCATGCAGCACAGAGGGGGAGCCAGTCAGAAAGTGCATCTCAAAGGCCACGTTCTTAGCACCCTGGAGCCAAGGCAGGGCCCTGCATGGCAAGCCCGACTTGCTTCTGTGGACTAGGGAAAGGAAGAAGGCTAAGTGGCAGGTATTCTCCCTCGCAGGCTGGGAAACAGGAAGCCCACAGACAGTGTTGGGAAAGAGTGCAGCCACCAGGGACAGAAATGTCCTCCCAGAGGCCTACCCACTCAGCACGTGAGCTGGCAGCCACCCACAACCCACCCTAATGGGCTCAGACTTTCTAGTAACTCGCCCACTCGGTGGGTGTCATAATTCATGCCAAGTGAGTGTGCACACTTGGATCTCACGTATCAAATTGAGTCTCTAAATAAATGTTAAAACCAGACAAGGTACCAGCTGTGTCGATTTTTAGACATGCTTGAATATACACTCTAACTTTTTTAAGCACGATAGAGTGAGCCTACCTGACTCGTTCAAGGAATTAAAAAGCCATCTATCTGAAGCCTTGATGAAGCTGGAGAAGCGCCTGGAAACCCCTAAACCAGAAGTAAAGATGGCCAAGCTGGGAATCAGGAGACTTGACCTCGCTGAAACAATCACCATCCACTTAGCACCTGCTCTGTGAGTGCCCTGGGTCAAGGAGGGGGCAGGAGGCTTGACAGCTGATGGGCACAAGGCCGGTCATAAGTCACCTCCTGCCCTCAGACAGCTGGGCAGGGAGAAGACCAGGCAGTCTGGGTATCCTCAAAATCCAGGGTGGCAACCTTTCAAAATGCAAAATGCCACAGGTGCTAAAAACAAGGGGTCACATCTGGGGCAGAGAAATCAGGCAAGCTTCGTTCTTGGTAGGTCTGGAAGGTGGAGGAGTGACTGACAAAACCCAAAGTGCCTATTTATTTTACGACCTTGTTTCAAGGTCAAATCACCGGTCTGATATTCTATTTCATCTGCCAAGTAGGGATTGATGTCTCCTTCCCACTTTCAGTGCCTTGGAAAAGCAGGTCTCAGTAAAAAGCACGTACTATTATTACCCTCAGGAGGCATGCCAAGAACAGAGCTCTGAGGTCTCCCGCCCCCAGATCTGAACCGAGCCTGAGCACGCAGAGCAGACGGGCTCCCTCCGGCCAAGTACAGTGCCAGCCAATCCCCAGAGCTCCGGTGGGAATGTGTTCAATTGGATGGCACTAGCTTGGAGTGGGCCAGACACTATCAGTCATATGCCAATTGTCAGTCCAGTTCACTGCAGAGCCCTGCACCTGGCATAAACAGGGGGTACATGAAGGTGCAACAAAATTAGATTAGAGCTGGGGGTGCTCTCTCAAAATACTAATATTTTTCCAAGTCCAGTCCCGGTCTGACCTTTGTCTTCCAAGTCTTCTTGGATTCTTTCGATCAGATTGCCTTCTTGCCCCCGGCTCTGGGTTGACCACAGTGTTTGCGTTGCTACACCAGGCAGTGTCTAGGTTCCAGCTGTTTTGTGCATGCTGGTTTTCCACACATGTCCTAGACCCTCTGTGCAACACACTGCGTACAGCAAGTGCCCCATGCGTGTTGCTTGGTTAAAGAACGCTTTGAAGTCCAGGTAAGTTATCTTAGAGCTGGGCTGTTGCCCTCCCTGTGACCCAGCTAACAGGGACAGATTTCCTAAGGCTGTGAGAACTAGACCCTCAGTCCAGCACCACAAGGGGAGACCTCGAGTAACACCAGAGACATCTTAGGAGCCCAGAGGTGATTTTAATTTCCTGCTGACACTGTAGCCCCTGCCCCCCCACCACCACTTAGCCTTCTGCACCCGGCATTGTGGCCCCTTCCCCAACTGTCACCTGCCCTCATGCTCAGATCTGGCAGAAAGGCCTGAAAGACTGAAAGCACGGGAGCACAGGACTATAGGACCCACCCTTTCCCCTGGAACATGTTTAAACGGAGAATACAAAAGGGGCACATAAGACATACCAGTGACTGTTCGGAAGCGTCCTGTGACAGAAATCTAAAACCCAGAGCTGAAAGACAACCTTACCTATAACCACAAAGAGATTCAGTCTGATTCAGCGGCTTGGGAACTGGTATCCAAAAACACCCCAGCCAGGGGGCCAGGAAACTTCCACCCTCCCACAGGCTGTGGGGCCTCCAATCATCTTCTTGAGGCCCACACTAGGGGAAGAGGGTCTAAAGCCACGAGGGAAAACTATTCCCCTTTTCCCCCTTAGGCTACCCACATACTTATTTCCAGTCAGCAAAAGGGCCTTGATCATAATAATGGCACAAAACAAAGGGGCCTTCTTGAAGCTCCCAGGTAAGTCTGAGGGGGACGCTGTTTTCACTGCCAAGTTATCTTGCCCAGCCTCACCTTGCGTCTTTTTGATGGCCCTCTCTCCATTGTACCCACTTGGGCTTTCTATTTATTTGTTCCTTTACAAAATAAATGTCCCTGGATCAGGCCTAAACAATGACTAGCCACGGTAAGTCCAGAATCCAGCCAAGACCCAAACCCAAGGTCCAGATACACAATACATCCCAAGAGCAGCAAGGCTTGGAGTTCGAGACCCAAGTCATCTACTAGTCTGAGTCCACTTCCTCACCTGTGATACAGAACACGGAGTCCTGCCTCGGAGTCCCAGGGTGACTGTGTCAACATCTGTGGAATGGGCCCATCATACCCCGACTCGTCTTCCCCAGCCAGATGCCCTACATGATTTCCCTAGGCCCAATGTCTTCGCTTATAGATTCCTTTCCCCCACAAATATAATTACCTAGGGATTCCTCTGGAAAGCTGAAAGAGTTGCTTCCCTGGAGGTCACAGCAGGCACTTGAGAGCACTGGTAGAGCTCATGGCTGCCCAGACAGAGCACTGGGCTCAGGATCTAGGGTGTGACTTAGGTAACTTTGAGGCCTGTCAGTATTTGGAATAAGTCACAAAAGATGAGCTCCAAGCCGTCATATCCCTGAGACACCTTCCCTTTGAGGAAAAGGTCTCCTCAACTCAAAGCAGTTTGAACATTAACTCTGTGGGTCAACCATCAGCCTGACAAAGAAAGCTACACTGGACACAGCTATCCCTCCACCAGCCACTTTCCCTATAAGCTGCCCCTCACTGCGACGTTTGCTCTGCTCAAGGCGTGGCTGGAAAGGGAAGCTCTGGTCTGAACCTGACGCACAAATCCTTATCGCCTTTGCCACCCTGAGTGGGAGAGTCGCCGGCAGCGAGGCTGATGCATTAATAGCATCGACTTTTGCTTGCTGAGCCCTCACTGTGTCTTAGGCAAGATGAATGCCCACAAATCATCGCAAATGAACCTTCACAGTAACTATGAGGTAAAAGCTATGATGGTCCCATTTTGCAGATGAAGACACAGAACCCAGCGGGCCTCCAGACCCAGCAAAAGCTGTCAGCTCTAAAGAGCCAGAAGGACCCCAGCCCTGAACTCACCTGATAGGAAAGGCCATCTTTTCGGGGGTTGAGACCGATCTCCTCCATAGGTGGGGCGTTCATCATCACCTCAGTCATCTTGGCTGATCTCAGATAGTCAGGGCTGCCAAGAAACCCAGACCAAAAGTCAACATAGACATGCACTTCACACTCCGACTCCCCGTGCGTCCTGCTGTCAGACCCGGCGACTGTCTGGGGGGAGGATGAGCGGTGCTCAAAGCAGAGCCCACAGAGAAACAGCACCTCACAAGCCCAGAGTGTCAGAGCTCTCGACCTCCATCAATAAAGCCCATTTTCTGAAAACCTCTCTGCAAACATCCTCTTCCTTGTCTCCTGTACTAGTCCCAGTGGCACAGAGAGTCTCTGGACTTTCTTCTAAGTGATCAAAAAAAAAAAAAAAAAAAAAAGTCAGCAGCTGACTCCGTCTGTCTATATTAAATTCAATTCAATCCTTCTCCAAGGGAACCACACATTATTATTACATAATAATAACAGGTCAGCCTCAAGGAAACAGTCCAATAATGCTGCTTTCCTAAATTCTCTCTGTCCTCTGCTGTTCCTTTTTGCAAAATGTCCCACTTAAAGCCCCAAGGGGTCAGCTTTCTGCAAGCTTCACATCTGCCGTCCAAACCCCTTCTCTAGCCCCAGTTACAGCAGCTGCAACTCACAGCCTGAAAAACATCCCCTGGATTAAAAGCCTTAAGGATGCCCAGACTCTGATTGCAAAGGAAATTTCCAGAGGGGCCAAGCTGGCCCACCAATGGCAGACATGTGAAAGTGCTTTGTACTCTGAAAGCAGGATACAAACATTCCATTATCCTCACACAAGTCATGGACACACACGGGGTCCTGAATGCATAAGGCCTAGTAGTGCAGACCAAAGTCAGTATACGGGCTGCACAACCCCCAATATTTTCACCATCATGGTTCTGACACAGGGGTAAAAAGAAAAGTGAAGTAACCTTTCTTTACAGGTACTATATATAAGAAAGGGGTACCAAACTCTTCTTCATTTTATGGTTACTATATAGACGCGAAATGGCATTGCATTTGGAAACAGAAGCAAGACTCTGACCAAGCTTTGCCGCTTAGGAGCTGTGTGATCTTGAACAAGTTATATAACCTCTCTGAGCCACAGGTGGCCTGTTTTGTCTATTACCATGATGCTTACAAAGCATATCTGTTATGCTGAAGGACTAATGTTGGGGGAGGGGGTGTCGGAGGGAACACTGCAAACTACCAAGTGCTAATCAACTGTTAGTAACCATTTTTTTTTTAGAAAAACCCGAGACGCTAATTTCTCAGGGGATAATAACCCTGATGGGCCCTACCACCCACCGTGGCAAGTTTTTAATAACCGGGGCACAAAGCCTCCACTAGCCATCAAAGTCCCAGCCATATGGTGTCTGGCGGGTCTCACACCATAGAGGTGGGAGGAAAGTGCGCCCAGGAGACAGCACACAAGCCTCAGGGGGTGGGGAAATTTTTATTTTGTTTTTACAGTTCATTCTCCTCTCTATAAACAGTAAGGCTGGGCTGGGGGAGGGGACACTCGCAAAGATGTTGGGCTTCCGGGCAAGTTTAGGGTTAGGCGCGGGACTGAAAGGCAGTTTGCTCGCGGGTCCCGGAAAGGCTGCAGCGCGCCCAGAGATAGGGGCCAGAAGAGCACCCACGGTGCCTGGTGGAGGGCTGCCCTACCCCTTATTTGGGGCCGTGGCGCCTGCCCGAAAAGTTGAAGCGACAACTTGAACTTTGCAGTTCCAGGGCTGAACAGGACCGCGCGGAGCTAGAGCTTGCGGGGCCGAGCTCTCTGCGCCCACACCGGGAAGGGCGCTCCGGGGCCTCCCTCGGGCGCTGCTCCCCCCACCCCACCACCAACCCCTCACCCCCCACCCCCCCACCAGCCCTCTCACGCAGCTCCTCCTCTAGCCCGGCAAAGGAGGAAAGAAGCTGCCAGGGCTCAGGTCCCAACGGCTGGGGCCTGGCTCCCTCACGAGCTTGGCGCCCCCGGCACAGCTCCCCACTCCTGCTGCCCGCGGGGCGCAAACCCCTGCGCCCCCCACCCCACCCCACCCAGGCTCTACCACCCGACCCGGCGAAGGTGGCTCCTCCCCAGGCCGAGCCTCCACAAAGGCCCGTCGGTTTTTAAGGGCTACGGAGAGGTAAGGGGTCGAGAAGGTGCAGCGTGGTTAGTGGTTTCAGTCGGGTAGCGTGTGGGGAGCGCGTATTTCCCCCACCCCTCGGAGCTCTGCAAACGCAGCCGCTGCACCAGCTCAGCCCGGCGGCCGCCGGCCTCGACGCCGAGACTTGCATGCAAACAAAAAGAAAGAGGGGAGGGGCCGAGGGGCCGGGGAGCGCAGGACCCCCCAGCGCCGGGCTGGGCGCGCGCCTCCTGCAGCCCTCCTCACGTGGGGGCTTATGAGCAGTCTCAGGGGTGAACCCGGGCTCTCCCCTCACCACCACCTCCCCCAACACACACACACACACACACACACACACACACATCTCTCCTAGCCGTCACTTGAGCGAGGGCTCCGAGTTCACTTCCTTTGTCTGGATGCTTTCAGCATCACCGCCTACCCACCCCCCACCTTTGCAACCTTGACGTTGACTCCTGCATGGGCTTGGGAGGCGGGTTAGTGTGGGGCGCCCCGGCTGCCCTCGCAGGGGGCCGGCAAGAGCAGGCAGGCGCCGGGGCTCCGGTGGCAGCACCGCGAGACGGATGCGCGCCGAGGGCGCAAGATACTCACCAGTGAATGGGGAAATATACAGACATGAAGTCCTAGGGGAGGCTGACCCACGCCCTTGTGACTTAAAGAGGGTCACTGCGTCCGAGCAAGGATGTCACGGGCGCAGCAGGCGCGCGGGCAGGGCTGGCGCGGGCGGCCGGGTGCGGGCACTGGGCGCGCGCCGGTGCGCCTTCCGGAGACGGCCCCACGGCCAGCGGCGTCGGCGGAGCGGACGGAGCTCTCGGTTCTCCACCGAGCTCGCGGCCCCACAAAGAGCCGGGCAGCCGTCTTTATAGGGGCGGGGGCGGGGCTCGGGCCCAGAGGCCCCGCCCGCCCTCGCCCACTCCTGGAATAACGTCACCAAAATCATGAATGGCTTCAGCGCTCGCAGCTCCTGCGGGCGGCGGCTCGGGGGCGCGCTCGGCTCGGCTCCCGGAGGGACACGAGGTTTGCTGCAGCTTCAAACCCGGCCCCCGCCCCAGTCACACGCGCAGAGAGGCGCGCGGACAGGCGCGCGAGCCCGCATCGGGCAGGAGTTCAATGTCAAAGCCGCTCCGAGCCTACAAAGCCTCCCAGGTGGGCTTGGACATCCCCGCACACGCCCTGGGGGACTGAGGGCACAGGGCCGTGGGCTGAGATGGGCTCCAAAGCCCGCGGCCGTGCAGCGTCCCCGGCCCTGGTTGCCTGACGCCAGCTCCATCTTTTACACCCACTCGTGGTCCCCAGCCCACGTCTCGGGACCCCTCCTCGACATTCGTCTCCCAAACTAGGCCTCTCCCCGGCACCCCCTCCCTGGGTGTTCAAGCTCTGCGCCAAGGCGCTTCTCCTCTATGCCCTGCCAGCTGCGTGGAAACGAGAGCACAGCCAAAAAAGCGGTGGGACGTGGGAGGGCCCGAGGGCCCGCGGGGGTCGCGTTAACCTGCGAGGAGCTGGTCTGCAGCCCCGAGATCTGTGGAGGGTTTTTGTGTGTTTGAGAGAAAGGATGTGGTGTCACTGTAGGGTTTTTTCCATTGGACACATACACACAAGCCCGCGGCGCCGCACAGGGGTCCGCGTGGAAGCCGAGCAAGCACACCCCACCAGCCTTGGCTTCCAGATCTGCTTCAAGCACAGGAGACAAAGAGCTTCCGCGGAACCCCTCCCACACTGCCCAGGAATCGCAGCTCCCGGGGTCTGTCCAGGCTGCGTTGCGCAGCCAGCCCAGCAGGGACCAGAGTCCGCTTGGGCGCCCAGCGCTGCCCCTCTGTGGCTGGAGCGCGTTGCTTCACACCTCTGCTGCAAAAACTCTTGTAAAATGGCTTTATAACCTTGACCTGTGTGTGTACTGGAAATGAGGGGGGGCATAATAAAAAAAGTAGGCACAATTAAATGTGCTTTGAAATCAATGAGTTTTTTGAAAGGTAGTAAATATTGCAACCACGTATGAGGGCTTAGAACTGAAAAAGACATAAACTAACCTTAGATTAAAAAGGATGATAGGATTAATGGTGAGGGTTTAAGAATGGCAAAGCCATTTTCATCAGCCCTTCCAAGCCAACCCAAATGAAACAATAAGAATGAATAAGAATAGTGAAATTTAACACTTTGCTAGTTTTCAGTCATTCACACACAAAATCTGAGTAAAACCAGTGTATCTTGTGGAAGCACAGCATCGAGGCAAGCCCCCTAACAGTTCCTTTCAACTGCAAAAATTCAGGAGCTTCTAGAAACTTGAGTTGCCATGCTCATGGCAGCACTGTTTACACAAGTCAAGCCATGGAAACAACCTAAGTGCCCCAAACAGAGGAGTGGATGAGGGAGACATGACAATACGTATACCATGCAGTACTACTCAGCTATTACAAAAACGGTGAACTCTTGCCATTTTGCAACAACATGGATAGAACTGTCAGGGATTACACTAAAGGAAATAAGCCAGAAGGAAAAAGACAGAAGGCAGATGGTGTCACTTAGATGTGGACTCTACAGAAACCAAACAAAGGGCCTGATAAAGCCAAACAATAGCAGACCCTAGAAATCTGAGCATAGAACTGAGGGTACTGGAGGAAGAGGAGGTAAGAGAGAGCAAAGCCAGGAGGGGGCACCACAGACTCTTGCATGTCAAAATGGACTTTTGAGAAGAGGACGGGCAGTAAGGTCTCCACCAGTATATATATGGCCTCCAGAAAAATCCCCTACATTGGAGAACGTTGCCTACCCTTTAAAAACGTTTACATTCATGCCCATTTTAACTAAATATCACTTGGGTCAGTAAATTAGACTGAGTAAACAAGCCTTGGGTTGAGACACTAAATCTATGCGTTGTGTTTTCCCTCTGGAACCAGAGTGACACTTCTATTCCTTTGAAGATATGATGCCTGGGGCTAAACTTTGATACAATTCTAACCAGTATGCCACTTCTCAATAATAATACTTTTATAGTCAGTGCCTTACAGTTTTTCCAAGCATTTTCATGACCGTGGTTTTCAAAAAGCATGTAGATTAACATAGCATAATTTAGGGACCAGCTTACAAATGTGCAGACTGAGGCTGTGCTGTATTAGGATGCTGGTCCAAGATTGCACAGCTCCGTTCCTACCTTGCTCTGAGTTTCCTTCACTTCCCTAAAGACATGGGATACCTTAACATGAAAACCGAATATTTCCTCCTAATTTCTTATGAGATACGTTTCTATTCCCACTGCCTTTGAATAAATGAAAGAGAAACACAAGCAAAGGAAGTGAGTTAGAGGCCCTGCACCTCAGAGATGAAAGAGGCCTTCCAAACCGCCTCATCCAATCTCCTCATTTTACAGGTGAGAAGACACCTGAGGGATTAAATGGCACGTCCGAGGTTGCCAGGCTATTAAGTGGTGTACCTGGAACCTGAAGGCCTCCACACCACCGGTCAAATGTCCTTTCCACAACAACCCTATGCTTTGCACTGCATTTGCCAAGAAGTCAGCAGCAGAAGTCAACACAAGATATGGATTTTAAACTGCCTCAGTCCATCACCAACATTTATTGAGCATCTACTGTGTACACATCATGAACTAAACACCCAGTCAGAGCCCTCTGCACACCCTCCCTTTTCCCACCGGTGTCCCCAGGAACTAAAGGGTTGAATTACAATTCAGCTTCAGTACAATTTCCAAGTAAAATCATAATTGCCTTGCTTTCCAACATTTCATAAATCCTGCTTTCTACAACTTCTTTCCTTCACCTAAAGTAAGGATTTTAAAAAAGAATCACTAAGCTTTATAAGTTATTAGAGTCACCTCCTCTGGCACCTCTGTGCCATGTATGTGGGACATGTAACTCATTATTCATCAAGTAAGAAAGTCCCCATTTAAATCCATTTAGCAACACGTCCCCACACTTTATCTCCTCTGTGGCTTGCAAAAAGTCAGTATTACATTTAATTTGCCTAGAAGTGGTGAAGCTGGTCCTCTGATGAGCTGTAAGGGGCCTCATGAAGTAGCTGTGGGCAGAGGTAGATTCAGATCTGTTAGCTTATATATGCCTCATACCAACTGTAAGACACGGGTACTGTTGTACCATTTTACAGATGGAGAGAAAGAGGTTCAGAGAGGTTGAGAAACTTGGCAATGGCCACATGGCTCCCCCAGGACTGAACCAGAATTTGAGTCTGAGACTTGCTGGTTCCAAATCCTATGTTTCCCTCACATATTACACTCATCCTGGCCTCTGTGGTTTTGCTTGTTTGTTTTAACAGCTAAACTATAAACTGAATCAAAAATGTTGTTTTCAGTAACAAAGACCAGAACTACTGGTGTCCATCCAGTGGGATAAGGCTGGCCGATGAGCAAAGCCCACCCCCCTCCTGGGAATCTGGGTGCTTCTTAAAGATATCAATCAAAGGCTGGGGGTCCAAAAAAAAAGTGAATAGAAAAATGAGAGTTCCTAGCCAATTTTTCGATGAAACTAATTTGAGTACATAAGAAATCTGAAAGGCAAGAATGTGCGTGGGTTGATGTGAGGATAAAATGAGATAATGTTATGAAAACACTTGGTAAGTTGGAAAGCACTGAGCAGACGCCTGGCTTGTTTTTAAGGTGTTTGGGGAACAGGGGTTCAGCAGAGTTGATTGTATCTACTTCAATTTTTCACTTATTTCAACCACAGACCCCTCCATTTTCCCCTGAAGCCCCTTGAAGTTTCCAAATTTGGGGGTACAGCCGTCAGAAGCCAGGGGTAAAGCTCTGCCCATGTCCCAGCAGCTCAAGCCCTTGCTCTCCTCTGGTCTTCAGGGCCTCCCAGCAAGGAGCCAGCTGGGTTCTGGACACAAGGTCAATGAGCAAGGCTGAGAGTGTGGGCATCGCTGCTCACCTCAGCTGGCAGGGAAATAGCAGTCTACAATAAGGAGCAACCCAAAACCCACCAGGCAAAATCCTCTACCTTTCACTGACTTTGCTGGGAGTCCTCAGGCAAGTTGCTTGATCTCTCTGTGTCTCAGACTCCTAAAGCAATAAAGCAGACAATAAGTCTCTTTTTAGCTCTCAGCGCATTAATAGGGCCGGGAGAAATCGCTTCTATACATACTCAGAGGAAAGTACTTTGCATCCTACTATCAGCTGGCCCAATGGAAAGCCAGCTGATACTCTGGCCATGTGCCCTCAGGCAGGGCCTCCTTTCTTCCCAGAACCCTCTTAGCCCCCAAAGAAGCCTGAGATCTGTTAGCCCATGAACTCTTGCCTCCCCAAATATCAAAGAGCTTCAGCCTGGCTTTTTCTTTATTTCTATCAAGGGGCCTTTGAACCAAAGGGATTTTTCAGAGAAAGAAAACTCTACGGAATCTTTAGGGTCCAGGCTCTTAAAAGAAAACACTAAAGTTGGAACCAGTTCAAGGCTCTTGTGTCCAATTAAGGAAAGACTCACATTCCTCTCCTAGCTCCGGCTCTTGCGTGCTTTCTCTCTTTCTGCTTCTACCCAGGAATGCACTTTAGCAGCCAGAAAAAGTGGTTACTATCACCAGGAGACACATATCACATAGCAGAGTGCTCCTGGGGTGGGCTCCAGGCCACGCCTCCCCCACACTAGACAAAGAGCACAGACCACAGAGCAACCCAAATTCCCTTCAGACCACTCTGTCCCCCAGCCTCCCGGTTTCACCCGCAACTTGGGCCAGAGAAACGCCGTACCTGCAGGGTTATGAAAAAAGAGGAAAACACAGACGTTTCTTGTGGAGAAAAGCACTTTCGGTTTTCTTTTCAAGTATTACAGGATGTCAGCCAGCTTCCTCCAGGGGCAACTGCGTCC